GTTATTTTTATACGAAATTATTGTAAATAGTTTCATATTGACAATGACAATGATAATGATTAATAGTCGTGATATATAATGACGATGATGATGATAATAATAATAATAATAATAATAATAATAAATATAATAGTTAATTTTTTTTTCTTTTTTATCTCTCATAATAAAATTGATTTCTTATGTAACATTTAATATTAACAAAAATCCAAATATTATAAAGTTTATTTAAACGTCGCTAAATTTATTTAATATGTTTATTACTCAATTTAGACGACTGCCAAAACGTTTTCTGATATTTTATAATATTTTAATAATACGACATTCGCGCGAATACTGCAGAACTTAAATTTCTGGCTTTGATAATAATATTCTCACAAGGAAACTATCTTTTTACAAAACATTTAAAAGTTTTAGTACTTCTTTGTAACATGTTTAAAATAAATATAAATAATTATGGAAATTACATTTTTCTTTTTTTTCTTATTTTTTACCTCCTTTCAACGTAATCATTTTTATGAATCATAAATTAATTCATATTAATATTGCTATCATAAGGTAGCTTTAATTCTTTTTTTCATTTTATATGCGTTAAAAAATTCATTAGTAGCTATACTTTACAAATACTGTAAATAATGAGCAGAAAATACTGGATTTATTTATTCAGTATTTACTACTCTCCTATATCTTATTCTAGAAGTTATAAAATTCTTTTCATCTGTAAATTGTACTTCTGTATAAATATGATTGTATGTAATATACTATAGCAACATAAATATACAGGATATCCTAGTTGTTCCGCCCATGATTTTATCAGCATATTCTATAAGTGAAAATAAAAAAAAACATGTTATACAAATACATTGTTTTATTAGTTTCGCTTATAAAATATGTTGAAAAAACTGAAACACCCTGTATATATATATATATATATATGTAATGTAATTAATTATGCAAGTAAATTATATAGAAGATATGTACAAAAAAATAATTTTACCGATAACGATGTTAACTTTAGTTATATTAAAAACAAAGAGACAAAAATACACAATGTTCTTTTTTGTCATATCTGTATTAGCTAAAATAATTCTACCTATATAATTTCTTACGCCGGAATTCTGATGTACAATTTACAATACATATAACTGAATAATGAATAATTCAGGATTATCGTTACGTAATACGATAAAAAAGATTGATATGTATTTTAGTATTTTAGAAAAATCATCTAAAACGTAATATAACAAATTAGTATTGTTAATAAAATTAAATTAATATATATATTTAATATAATTAATTTTCTTAGTTAATAATATAACTAAATTTGAAATGCGTCTTTACAGAGTTAAAAATAAGATTCTAATTTAGTTAAAAAAAAAAAAAGGCTTGTACCTGAACAGCTATGTATATAGCTATTCTTCTATCTTTTAATTATTAAATTAAACTAACTTTATCTATGTTGCATTAAATCGGTTTCTGTAACATTAGAAATATTATAAAAGTTATAAGGTAAATTTGGGGGTAAAAAGTTTTGTAATGCTGCTGGCATTGCATTGAAATACGTCGGATTTCTTTCTCGAAAAACAGTATCTTGTACTGTACCGGATACATCTGCTTGAAAAGTTTGTATTGCTGTTGTTGGTATAGCTTGTACGACTATCGGTTGAGGTGCAGTTACATGTGGTACAGTTTGTATTACCTAATTAAGTAATATAAGAGTATAGAAAAATAATCAAAGAATAAATTATTATAATAGTCATTTCTGAAAAATAAAATGTAATTGATAATAATTAATATACCTGTACAGTTGTTGATTCTGTTTGTGACATGGAAAGAGGATCTTCTGCGGTATTAGCTTGAATCGAATGTTGTTGTTGCTGTTGTTCCTGTTGCTGTGATTGTTGCTGCTGCGATTGTTGAGACTGTGATAAATGCTTGGTATGTGAAGTATTGATTCCATGTCTACGTTTCATATGTTTATTATAATTCGGCCAATTTGTGAAGTGGTGTTGACATTCTAAGCAACTGTATGGTCGCTCACCGGTATGCTGTCGTCTATGTGTCTGAAATATAAAATAAAAATTATATGTTAGAAATAAATATTTTATATTCTATAGATTGTAATATAAAAAATATATATATATCTTTACCGTTAAAATTCCTTTAAAACGAAAACATTTACCACAGAATTCACAAGTAAAGGGCATTGCACCTGTATGTATCCTATGATGTTCCCTTAAAGTGCCCTTTTCTCTAAACGTTCTACCACAAACAGCACATTGGTGTGGTTTAGCTCCGGTATGAACTGTTTCATGTTTCTTCAATTGTAATGGTGTTTTAAATCTATAAAATAGTTTATACAATATATTAAGAAATAAATAAAAAATTTATATATATATGTAATATATTTAATAATTTAAATGAACATACGCTTTAGGACATTGAGAACAACTATATGGCTTGTCTGCGGAATGAGTTAAGAAGTGAGCTTCTAAATTTCCTTTTTGTACGAAACTTTTACCGCATTGATCGCAAGTAAAATTTCTAACTCCAGAATGAATGCGTTTGTGTGTGACCAAATTAGGTTTAGTAGAAAACCTATAAATGCATAAAGATATTAATATAATATAAATGAATATATTATTTTTTATAATTGACAATAATACCTTTTATCACATTGATCACAAGGGTGACGATTTTTTACAGAATCCGGTAAATGACATTTACTATGAATGTATAAACCGTTTTGTTGTCTAAATGCTTTACCACACGTTTGACAAACAAATGGACGTTCCTCGCTGTGAACTGCTCTATGCGAGTCTAATACTTTTTTATGTATAAATGATTTCCCGCAATCCTCGCAACTATATACAGAATAAAAAACATAAAGTTAGTCGAATATATTAACAACACTGTAAATATATTTGTAAAATTTGTAATATATAAAAGTTCTTACTTAAACTTAGCTTTAGTTTTATGCCTTTTAACGTGGGTAAGAAAACCATAATATTTGTCGTACACTTTGCAGCATTGTACGCACATATATTTAGCTTGTTGATTATGTTCAGTTTCATGATGTTCTTCCAATGCTTCTAAACTTGGTAATTTGTCGTTACAATCGGTACATAACCAAGGATATCTATCCAATCCTTCTCCTCTTTTGCGCCCAGGTTTTGGTGGTTCCGCCGCACGAGATTCTATCATTTCCAAGTCAGAATCCGTTCCTACAAATTAAAGAATACAAAAAGGTGTAAAAAGTAAGTCAAATAAATTCTTACCGGTCATATAATTATCTGGAACTTTGATGTTAGATTTTATATCATTATTTCCTTTCTTTAAATCAGAATTTAAACATAATTCCAAGTCGTCCATTCTTTGCATTTGACTTTTCTTCTTAACTTTTTTCTTCGTCTGTTTGGGCAAACCTTTTTTAACTTGAATTTTACATTTCTGTTGCTTCACAGTCTCATATTTTTCTTGATCGCAATCGTTATCATTATCATTATCATTATCATTTTCATTTTCATTTACATTTTCATTTTCGTTTTCATTACTAAAATAAGTATTTGTAATATCTACAGCAGTATTATGAATGTAATTATCTGTTAGTTGACAGTCATCGATAGTTTCGACAACCTCTTCTACTTTTGGAAACTCAACAACAGTTTTCTTAATAAAATCTATATTTGGTTCTAAAGTCGATGGCTCAGACTTGGGCTCTATTAGTAATTGTCTCAATGATGCTTGTGCTTGATTAGTCTTCTCAAAAAATTCACTGCATTGATTTAATGATACACAACAGTCTATACAAACTGAGAGTGGTAATCCATCTGTTATTAGTACCTATAATGTGATACACAAAAAATTAGAGAGACACAATATAATAAAACCAGTATGTTAATGAACAAAAACATCTACATTTCATTAAACATTATAACGACTGATATCTAAACAGCATAAATTACATCTCTAGCCTTGAGTAATATTCTAGCAAAAAGTAAATGATTTAAAAGAAAAAAGTAATATAAAGTAAGCGGAACAAAATCTAAAAGTATAGAATAAAAAAGCAATCCATTGTTATATCATACTTGTATCATAACATTATTTATCATATTTTTACTTATAGAAAATACTATGGAAAAATTTTACAAAATAAACTGGGATATCTTGCATATATGAGGCAGTATATACAATATACATAAAAACATTTCAATTTTTAAAGAAGCATATGAAATTAGTTTTGGAATGATTTAAAAGAAAAAAAAGTAAAAAATATAAAAAAACTAAAGGAACGAGTTGTCAAAACTGCAAGGAAATTAAAATTACCTGAATTTGTAAACACTTAGAGATTTTAGCTTCTATCGCTAATTTTTGTCCTTCGGCGTCATAAATACCGATGAAGTTCTCTTTGGTCTCGGCACAGAGCCGGCAAAGTTCCGGCTCCGTCATCATTCAAAGCGCGAAAAATCCGAGAACATTTACGTTATGGCAGTTCATTGTAATTAACACGAGATAATACAGAAATTTATTCCGATGCAATTAAGTGCTTCGTAGACGTCGTAAACAAAAGATTGGCATAGACGCTAACTCCGACAGCGGACATGTTTTCTTTCTCCGGAGAAAAATATTGTACGTCTGTCTCTCTCGATCTTGCACTAGTTCCATTCACTTGATCCGCCATTAAATGCATTAAATGCATCTACATTTCGCACTGATCGGATTGTTGACGTTGATTGAAAATTCTACATTTATTTTTATACACCGTCATGTTCAAGAACAATGATACACGTATTTTGATTCATTTGTTGTTTATAAAAATTATTTTATATTCTCCCCTTCTCTCCCTAACCATCGGTCACTCGAATTCGTGACATCTGTCGATAATTCTTGGAAACATTGTATTGAAAAAAATCATCAGATAGTGCAGGTTTCTACTATACCGATTGTAATATTTTTTATTGAAATTATTAATTGAAAATTTAAAATATAGCTTTGGTGCGGCGTTAACATCGTGTTGATGATAATGAATCGTGATAATCTTGTCTTGAAACTTATGTTCCACGTTGTTGATAAATAAAAAAATGATATTAATATGAGATTATATATATATGTATATATTTCTTGAGATGTATGATTGAAGCTATTGAAAAAAATGTAGTTTTTAATTAAAATCTTATACACTTGTGTCATATGTTAATATTTAATTGTATATACTTCACATAAATTTGTAATTTAATCGAATAAATAAGAGAAATTGTTTCGAACAGATAAAAATATGATATATGAATAATTAAAGTGCCTTTAACTGATATTCATAAAATTTATATAACATCTCTTAATATAGCTGATAACATGGCTGATCCAACGATACAAACATTTTGTTGTCGCCATACGAATAAAACTGATATGGCTATTAGAATAATGGAAGAATTTAATACAGATATTTATAATATAGTATGCATGCTTTCTTCAACGATGGGTATACTTGGAGCTGTTTATCAAGTAATTAATAATCATTGATATTCTATGTCATTACCATGCTAATTATATAAAACCAAACCATTGTATTTATAGGTATTGCCTAGAGAAATGTCTAATCTCCCTCACCGATGGAATAGTTTCTCAGCATCGAGGGGACGTGAGATTATTGTATGGCTTGCTGTTGCTGACTTGTTTGCCTCATTAGGTATTTTACTTGTTTTTTATTCTCACTATCTCCTTCATTGCAACATATATTTCTATAATATACAGGGTGCCTGTATGTGAAAACCAAAGTTAAAAATGTAGAATCTAATTTGTTGAGTACACGTATACTTGACTAAATTTACAACTCAAAAAAGAGGAATCATTGCCTGCTCGCATGTACCACCAATTACAAGACACCCTATACATAATTTTCTATCTCTCTTTTTCTTGTTATTCATTTTTCTTTTAAATATAGAAATACCAAACAATTACATCATTTTTATCTTTTAAGGTATATTCATACGATCTGCGTTATGGATCAACTTTAAATCTATCATGCCGATGGAAGAAGATACTTCCAGTGTTGTATTCTGTGCTCTTTCTTCGGTAAATTAATTTTTATATTGTATAAGAATATATGCTTACATGTACAATGATTTAAAAAACATATTCATTTTTAAGGCATGGACGCAATACTTTTACATGGCAACATGGATTTGGACACTATGTTATACTATCGATATGAAATTGTTACTTAGTGATAGACCTGGTCGTCCTATTTGTTATCACATGTTTGCATGGATTTGTCCTGCCTTATTGACAATTTTCGGTTTGTCAATATTGTACATTCCAGATGCAAAGTAAAGTATTAGTTTAACATCATTTTTTAGTATATGAAATTTTGTGTTAGTAATATTAATTAATAATATTTATTTCAGCTGTCATAATTTAACGTCATTATCCATCGCTATATTACGTATTTTACCTAATTATTGTGCTACATACGTTTTACTCGCAATCGTTATGATTATAAATCCACTTCTTTACGTTGCTTCAACTCGTGATCTCAAAACAGCTGTTACGTGCAGTTTATCACAAATAACAGGACGAGAAAGAAAATTGGTTCAAACGATCAGACTTAAATTTGCATTGATTAATATTGTTTATTACATATGTTGGGTACCAAATTTAATCAATGGTATCTTATTATGGACGCTGTGGTTTAAATTACCTGTTAAAGCTATTATTACTTTGTGGTACATAATGGTAAGTTGATGAAAATAAAATAAAAAATTAAAGAAATAATAATAAATTATTAAATAAACAAATGATAATTTTTCTGTGTGTCTGGATTAACATGTAGGCGGTGACAAATCCACTTCAAGCATTTTTCAATGCACTGGTTTATCAGAGATGGGGCAGAAAAGAAAAATTTCGATTGGAGTGGTGTCAAAAATTAGGAAGCTTTAGTTTAAGTCAAATGTCGAAAGGTAATAAAGATATTAATTTAACGGAATCGTCACCATTGTTAAATCAATACGCTTATACGCCTCATACGAGTATAAACGGGTCTTCCTCGTTATGAAACAAAACTGTGGTACAATTTTCAATGCAATGTACTGCTAGAAATGTTGACTAGTTACGATGGAAACATCGTGTTGTACATTTTTATACACAGGACGTATTACAATATCAAGATTAAGAGTACTTGTACTTGTATTTCATTTTAATCTTATCGAACAAATATTAAAGACTAATATTAATACTGCCAGATAATAATTATTATTAAATATGATAGAATGCATTTATGCATATTAAAATGATTAATTAAAGTTACATATATATATACACGTTATATACTATTTTATAAAAGTATATATACATGCGTACTTTCAAAAATATTTTTCAAATTAAATCGAAGAGAAGAGTTTTAAAATTCAAATATTGTGGAGCGGGGTTTCTCAAATTCTTCCACTTGGCGACTTTGATTTTAAATGAATTGATATAAAATACATTTTTATAACTACAACACAAATACCCCTATTTAAAACAAATACAATTAAATAAATGTAATAAATACAAGGAGATTTATTTTATACATCTAAGAGTATATATAGTTTTCACATATATACAATGTTATGCATATAATTAGTACATTTTTTTTTGTACATCTAATAGATTTATATTTTATATTTATTATTGAACGTAAAATCGTAAAATTTAAATGCATACAAATAAAAAAAAACTACTTATATGTTACTACGTTAGATTATTTAAAAGTAAATTAAATTAATATATTTAGAAAGAGGAGATTCTAAGATTGTTATAATTTATTACATTTGATTTCAAAACTTTGTATACACGCTTCAATATTAATATGTCATTTACGAGTATGCTTCCGTTGTACGGATCAGTTACAATGTGAAAATAAATTTTATCACGAAGTAAATAAAGGGGATGAAATATTACAATATAATGCATTTAAAATATTTCGATATTAGTCACTGGTAATATTCCAATAATATTATTTTCAATTACAAATAAATACTGTACTTTATAGACTATTGTTTTAAAAATATAACTTGATAAATATCGTATTATCGTATTTAATAATAAAAAAGTTAATATTCTTTTATTTTTATCCGAAGAGAGAAAAAAGAAAAAGCATTTATATTAGCACCATGTATTTATAAACGAACTTGCTGAAATATGTTCAGAGATTATACATAATTATTGAATAATATTAATAAAAATAATAAATATAATAGACACAATAATAATATTCTTGTTAATTCAAAATATACATCTTTTCTATTGTCACGCGAAAAGAAATATTTTACATTCATTGAAATAATTAATAAATGTAAGTGCTATAAAAATGTTGTTACGTTTGTTATTATTACAAGTTTTTAAAAAAATTAATAATTAGTTGTGTATTAAATATAGTATAAAAAGGAACCAGCAAGCAGCAGTAAATATGTTATATTCGTTAACATCACAATTTTGATCTATCAGCTTATCATTTACGATAGTACATTATTCAAGTATAGCACATATTACTTTTATCAATTTTAATGATTCTTCTTTTTTTTTTTTCCTTTTCTTATACATAATGTACAATTTTTATATATATACTCGAAAATAAATTTACTATTTAATTCTAATCAACTAATTCTTAATTCGTTTATTTAATCTGTATGTATGTTTATATGCAGTGTGTCTCTTTTAATTTTATATATTATATATTACAGATATTAATATATACAATTAATCAACTTCGTTTATGCTACTAGCACGCTAAGAAAAATTTTTTTATTATTTTTCAATTAATTAATCAGATCATTTTTTTATTTTTTAAATTTATAACTATACTTTTTTAATAGAATATAGCTTAACCCTTTACTACAGTGTCACTGGTAGTATCAAAAGGATTAAGATATCGCACCAATAAAATACTGCTGGGAAGAAATTTGTGTTTTCTGTAATATAGTATTAAAAAAAAAGAAGAGAAACGTTTAAATAAATAATAATTAAAATTTTAAACGCGTTCAAAAGAATGCATTTTACGGAAATTATTTTGTTATGCGCTTATAATTATTATATATTCAAAATTAATACTTTTATATAATCTCATGAATAAAAATTATACCTTCTCAAATTGTTGGAGTATTATTTATAATTTAAGAAGATGTTTAGTTAACTTAAAAACATTTTTAAGCGATTCAATTTGTGCTGGCTCTACAGCGACTCTTGCACGATATATATCTACAGTTATATATATATTCACAAATATGAACAATCTCTCTCTTTCATTGACTTTATTTTCTGATAAATTGTTTTTTTAAAATTAAGAGTATATATACTCTTAAAATTCTTTCAAAAGAGATACTCATTTAACTTGTACCATTGTTTCCATTATGTTGCTTCTTAAAATATAGTATTTAATATTTTATTGTTTCATCTGTGATACGCACTAACCGGTAAATATATTAATTGTTAACTTAAAACAATATATATGTATGTATCAAGATGTCATGTAATAAAGAAAATTTATAGAAAAAATATAAAATATTAAGTAGTAAACGAATGGGGTATAATACTATCCTGTATTTTGAAATTGTTACTTTCATAATTAAAAGATATTATATACAATGAATTTACTTTGATTATCTGATGTATACAAGGTGTCTGAGGTTTTTCCAGTTAAACAGTGTCAGTGTATTCTATGCACGAAAATAAAACAAACACAGTTTGGTTGGAAAAATCTTAGACACTCTTTACGTATTCGTATTTTTGTAAATATATTATAAACTAAAATAAAACAATTGTACTAACATATTATAATCTAATTGTAAATATAAATCACATATAAGACCTATCGTATATTAAAACCTCATTCTAATAATCCATTAATATCAAACTTGATTTGTGAAAAATGAAAATAATTAAGCAGTGCTCCGTGAAATTGTTTAAAAATATCAAATTTAAATAATTGTAGCCGATCTATAAAGTAACTTAATTTTCATTGAACTTTTGGCACATTTCATGAAATATATTTTTAACCTGTAATAAATAATAATGATAATAATAATAATAAAATAATTATTTGAAAATAAGACCTTTTTAACCATTTCTTGCGGTGTACAAAAAGCTTCCAAAATGATTTTTATATGGTAAAGTATATATCCCATCAAGATGGATGATTTGTTGCTCCTAAAGTCAAAGACGTAATATCACGAATGATCATTTCTGCTATTTTCCATGCTAACTCTTCTTTTGCCTAGATACGTTAAAAGTAAATATTATAATAGATTAATAATATATTTGTATATATTGTTTATCACATATACACTAAAGTTGAACGCATAAATATCTATGCATAATAATTTTTACCTTATCTTGTTCCAAATTGACGAGTCTTTTGACAGCGCGCGCTAATCGTGATTCTAAAAGTTATATATTATTATTTATATTAATAATGAAAACGTTTCAATAGATCTATATAAAATTTACCATATTTTCTGCAAGGATCAGGTTCTATTTCTGTAATAAATCTACCCAAGTAATCGATGTAGCCAACGCTTAATCTGTATTATATAAATAAAATATTAATATAATATAATATAAAATAAAATAAAAATTAGAAAAAATAAAGGATTTAAAATACAAACCTATATTTGTTACGTCTCCATAAAGAATCTGGATCGTAAAGTTGTCTTGTATCGATATTCATATTATTGTGTGCACTTGTCTTCGTACTAGTACTAGTATTAGATAATATTCCATTGGCATTGTTCCCTGCCTGCAGGGTGCTTTGCATACTGTTGCTAATAGAGCTCACTTCACTACTGCAGTCGGAACCTGATAAACGTATAACATTCCTATGGTTATATCTAAATTTCACATTTTGTACTTATCTTTATCTTGTTTTAAAAATATTGATAATCTAATAGATAAGAAAAAAAAAACATGATTACCCGCTCTCTTTATCCGGAGCTGATAATTCGAACATGGATTGCTTTGAATGGTACTGATCAGTTCCGATAAATATTTATAATACAACTGCGACGATAAAAAGGTAGGTAAATAGTGCTGAAAAATTAAAATAATAAATAAATTCATTTTTTATATTTGTTACGAGATAATAAACATGAAAATGGATATAATAAAAAAAATATACCTTATTGAGAAATTTATATACAATTTTACAAGGTTTATCAAAACAATCAGGTAATGGTCCCTCTCCGTCTTCGCGACAAATATTTTCTTCGACTTCAAAACGTATTTTATCGTTAAACCCAAGAGGTGTAGTTGCTTGCAAACTAAAATATCTGTAAACGAAATATATATGTTATACATTTCTATATAATATTATATTATGAAATTATATTAAAAAATATAAATTACTTGTCGTATATGATCAGAGCGTCGGATTGAGCTTCCTCAGGATTAATCGGATCTTTTTTTTCCAAAAGATTTTGTTTATAATTAATTGCAGCCATCCAAAAGTCTAAGAGCTCGCGTTTATTTTCGAGTTCCATGAACTGAAATAAAAGTATATATTATAAATGTGTAATTCTTTAAAGTTATACAATAGAATATATGTGATAAAGATCATACCTCCATGAAATAAAAAAACGCAGTTTCATTATATAATATATCTCCTAATTGTACATTTCCACTGGTGAGAACATCAATTTGATGTTTACAATGAAATTCACTTCTAAGAAAGTCATTAATATACCTATGAAATTTTAACAATTATTGTGAATATTTTTGCATAGTAATTTGCAAAAAAAAAAGTGTTTTTTTTTGTACTTACTCCTTTTCGATAACATCAAATATAATATTTTGAATGTTAGATAGGCACCGTAATATAGGCTCTATGTTTTTGCATTTAAGAGCATTTTCTATATCTAGTTTTACTTCCTCAGGAATTCTATTAGTACCCAATGTTTCTTTAATAATATATTTTTTATAAATCCTTAAAGCATCTTGCCTAGTATTTGTCATATCGCCTCCTCTATCGTTCTCCAACTTGCGATTTAATTGTCGCATACCACTTAGCATCTCATTAATCTTTGGCGTGTCATTACAATTTGATTTAACATCGTTAGTATTTACAATTTCATTGTACAGTCCCTTTTCTCTAACATCATTTTCAATATTACCTTGGAGCACGTTGCAATTAAAATTATCATTATCATCCAACGAATTAGACAAACTACTTGACTCCATAGTAGTAATAGTAGTAGTAGTAGTAGTAGTAGTAGTAGCAATAGTAGTAGTAGTACAATCGTTCTTCAAATTAAAATTCTCTACATTTTCATTGCTGAGATGAAAATTGGGAAATGATTCGCATAAACATTCAACTTCTAACCAAAACTTGATAAGAGCTATTGAATGTCTTGTATCCATAAATTGAATGAAATAACCTAGGGCATCCTTATCTGCAAGAATTTCTGGAAGCGTTTTAGAAAGTTGTGACCTGAACGGTCTTTTATTGTCTTTATCTTCCTTAACGATATCATCTTCCTCTTCCTCCTCAAGGCTGCACAATGTACTTGATGGTAAATAGATCGACGCACAATCATCACCGTATTCATCTGCAAATGTCTTTCCTAATTGTGTTGATTTTGTTGGCGATGCATGTAATAATCTGGGCCTGTCTCGTTGCCCTACAAAAAGTAATAATGCATTAATAATGTGATCGATGAAAACATATCGTCCAATTAATAAAAATTAATGAATATCTTTTAAAAAATAGAAAATTAATAAAAAGAACTATTAAATATCATGTAACTATAATAATAACTTTATCTGAGGCATTTAAAAATAAAAATAAGAAAGGTAAAAATACATTGTTTTGATCAAATAGGTTATGTTTGTTAGATGCACTATTATCAATCCCTTTCATAATATATTACGAAATAGATTTATAATTTGAAAAAGTCAAATAATTACCAGGTTTTTTAAAAAATTGGAACATTTTTTACGTCAAAGAGTAACATGATAAACAACGCGATATGACGTACACTTAAAATAAAGAATATTTCGATTTTATTCAGAGAAATAACTTTTATATATATTCCCTTCTTCGATAATCGCGTGTGCGTGTTTTTATTTCGAATTTGAATTCGATATTTTTCGATTCGATTACACCTATTTATAATTACTCTCTCTCTCTCTCTCTCTCTCTCTCTCTTCTCTCTATTATTTTAATAATTATTATTAAACGTAAAATAAAATACGTTTAATCGTTTTAAATTAGAAGAAAATATTCGTCGATCACATACATATGCAACGCACAACATCCGAAGGAACTGTCATTAGTGTCATCGCGAATCCGTTTACGAATTCTTGCTATATCGAATGAGTGTGTATGTGTATGAAAGAGAGAGAGAGAGAGAGAAAATGAAAGAGAAAGAGAGAGGGTTAACACTTTCCTTAAAATTGTTTCGATTTTTTTTAACAAAAAACGTTTTTTTTTACAATAATTTATGCATCTTTGATTTAAAAAAGTAAATATTGATTTTGAAATATGCAATTTCCTTAACAACGTTAATTAAATTTATTCGCGTTGTATACGCTCCTGACACTTCCGCGCGAATGCTGTGCATATATACATATATATATATATATATATATATACATAAGTTATATGTATGACACACCGAAATTATTACTCAGTATTTCATAATAGATATTTGTCTATTTTAATTACTCGAATTAATGTAACACACTATAATGTTTTATTACTAATATTAATATTAATATATTAATATTGTTACTCTGTTATAATAATTAATTTTTATTTTTTAGATTACAAATTCTTTTTTTTGTTTTACGATTGAAATATTAAAAATAGAAATGAAAAAGAAAAGAAAATAAACCCCGTTTAAATTTGCGTGGCACGTATTTCATCGTTCGAAGGACGAACGATTTATACAACACCTCTCCTTTTCAATATATCCCATAACTATAGAAATAAAAGAGGATTCACGTTTGAGTTACTCGATCTAAAGTTCAAAGGAGGAACGTTCATGTTCTCTGTGAAATGTCAAATATTTTCTCTACATCTAATGGCAATAACAATAAAAATTACAAGTCGAAGAAGATTCGTCGTATAATTTTATCCATGGGATATCGAATTTTATATGTGGGAGTGGATAACCTCTAATAATTTTCGTATTCCTATCTCGTAGAGTATGGCAAATAATGTATTCCCGATTCGAAGTTAATCTTGACGTATGCATTTGCATTTTTCGTGTTTAGAATACGAGCTTTGTTTATATAGCTCGTTTAAAAAATAACGTAATAAATAAATGATGTACATACGACAACAACAACATGTGTGACGTTGAGCGTCATATTAAAAAAATGATAATATTAATAATAATTATTATTTTTGTAAAATAAAATTATTTGTATGATATAATTAATTAATAATGTTTATAATAAATCGTCTTATATTTGTTTACCTTTCTTGAAATTAAATTACATGAACATGTTAGGAAATTTCGTAGAAGTGCATATGGCGGCAAAATTTGAAAAATCGATACCTCGTCTAAAGTGAATTGATATATTAAGTAATATCAATGTGAATCGAGAGAAATATTTAATTTATAAGTTATAAAATTATCAAGTATGATATATTAGTGTACTTTAATTAATAATATATTCTAAAATTGATCAAATATTAGTTTAAAAATATAATACAAAATTATTCAAATTTTCGACGTTTCTAATTGGCTAATTTGATAAATACGTGATAGGCGGGCTTTTTTAAAAAATCTTCTATAAAAATTAAAACCCCCAAAAGATATATTATACTCGTATCATTAAATAGTTAAATATTTACGTGTTATTTTGAAATCAACTATAAAAAAATAAGACAGACGAATCCGAAATGTAATGCAACGTACATGTTTTTTAGTAGCTACATATTTTACGAATCAGGAAATATTTAAATAAGTAAATGTCTGCATATAGACGTGGGTGGGTACTACGGTATTTTGAAACGTGGTATACAAAATAAAACATATGGGATATCAAGAAGAAGTATCACTAGAATATTTGAGTAGCTACAAATATAAAAAGTCAAGAAACATATAAATCATTATATATGCACATATAAAATACTAGACGCGCCTGAGTATGGTATTTTGAAACATACTATAGAAGATAAAACAGGTGGACTCTAGAAGGAAGAGGCCAATGTCCGGACACCGTAGTGAAAAGATACCGAGGAAGAGGCTACCGAAGAAGAGAAGCCTTTGGGAAGGCTTTTGTGGAGGCCATCGAGGAGGTAACTTCTCTCGTGCGTTCAACCGCGAAAGGAATACCGGTTTTTCGTTCAGGAATAGAATACAGTAGTAGTATTTACGTATAGGAGTAAGAGAAGAAGGTGACCATCGCAGTCAGGACTCTGTTAGAACTTCGTGAACTTCCTCCAGTTCTTCCTTCACTGCTACTTCTTCTTCTTCTTCTTCTTAGTTTTGTTTCTTTTATTTCTCTTCTTCTTTTTCTTCTTCATCTTTTACTTCGAACTATACTTCACGTGTATTACATTTTTACATACGATTCGTGCCAAGAACGTTCTGATTTTTCTTCCTATGTGTTGTTCAGTTGCACACAAATAAGTAAAAAACGGTGCACCATCATCATCATGTCGTTTGTCCACTACACCATCGTATTTGCTTTTCATATTTATCTACTTATCAAAGTTGTACTTTCTGCACCTGTGAATTACGATCAACGACAAACTGGCGATCTCAACGTGCGAATTGATTTGAAGGATCTGAAGATACTAGCTCTTCTTGATTCTAAAGTACTCGAAGATTACACGGTAAATGGAAATATATCGTTTAAAGTGTTTTCTAAGATAAGATAAGATTTATTTTTTTTTGTGGGGGAGGGGGCGCTTTAAAGTTTGCATTTATTGATAAGAGAGAACAAATGACTGAGCATTTGAATAAAATTCTATTTAAAAGTATTATATATTTATAGACGAGTATATTTTCTCATTTTAATTATCATTGATCACAGATTTTGTTAAAGTTTCAAACAACGTTAGAATAAATTTATTGATACACGTTTGTTTGATACTAATGGTTGTTGAATATTTTTATTAAAAAATTATTTTCTTTTATTTCTATAGGACTATGATTACTTTTACGATTTCGCTGACTTCACATCAAAACCAATTTCAAAGCCCACATCGGTTTCTACGGTTGAATCTTTGAATACCGAGCCTACTAATGCACCCATATCTTCTTCAACCATCAAAACGGATTCTGTTGGAATTTCTTCTACGAATGATTCAATAATAACTACTTCAAAAAATGAACAATCGATTGAAGATGCAACGAAATCCACGATCGAAGAAGACAAAGTTATATCTTCGTCTAATAAAGAAGGTATCCTTGAAACATCAAGGCAACCTTTAAGGAAAAGAGCTCATTTGAAAATCCGATCGAATAATCGTCCTAAATTTGTATCTTCCAAATAACAAGGGGATATTTGATTTGTATTTTTATATTAATTCTTATTCAAATGTGTTTTTTTATTACTCTTTAAATTAATGTTTAAATTAATGCAATTTCATCATTGATGTCTTTCTTTTTTTTTTTAAATAAAATCCAACAATAAAAAATAAACCTTACGTTAATCCTAAGAAAAGAGAAATTATACAATATCCAATTAATATTTTCCACATGATTATAATCTTCGACGTTATATTCACACAAAATAATTTCAACGAAATACTTATGAATAAATAATTCTAAAAAATTGAAAAAAAAATGCATTTCGATGATTTCATTTATAATCAAATTTTCCACCGGAGAGAGAGGCCCTAATGTAAAACACGTGTCATCAAATAATTCTAAATAAATTCACATACGGAATATTATCGAACAATAATTATCCTTCCCCTTTGTTTTTTTTATTCTTTAACGTTTATAAGTAAAACATTGCAGGTCGTAAAACAAAAGTTAAAAATATTCCGACGATAAAACTAAACGAACGTAGAAGAAGAAGAAGAAGAAGAAGGTGCCCCTCCTTTCCTCCTCAAAAGAAAAAAAAAACAAAAAAGAAAAAAAAAAGAAATGGTCAACGGTACATGGTCTAGAAGGACCAGTTGAATATTCCTTGAACGCTATACATTTCCTTTACCCTCTCCAATGATCATCATCATCACCACCATCATTATCGTGGATAGTTACAGTGAGCTCAGGAAAGGAAGAATCGTCCACAGTCGTTGATCGAACTTCGTACGAGCATCTCTTTGTTGAGGAACCAAGAAGAAATAAATTCAAAAACAAGAATACAAATCTAAAAAAAATGATTATTATTTCGAGTCTATTGATACTATCGTTGTCAATAATATTTGAATGTAATTCAGCACCAACGATTTACGATCAAAAACAAACTGGTGAATTTAACTTTCATGGATCTTTAGACAATTTCATGTTTCTCTTAATTCCGAGTAAAACGTCAATGTCTAATATAGATTTGATTTCATTGCTCGATTACAAATCAATGGCAAGACAATTGATCGGTAAGAAAAATAAGGAAAGTGAATTGGACGGGCCAATATTGTCGATAATAAACGAGGAATTAAATGATGATCATGATAATATCAAAACTGGTAAACCTTATCAGGTTAATATAGTCAAGATTCCTAAAGATAAGGAAAAGAGTGCTGGTCAAGATTTGAAAGATTTGGTAAAGGAAGAATTGAAGGATTTGAAAAACGAAGCTAAAGTGAAACAACAGGACCATTATAATTCTCAATCTTTTTCCAAGGATTCGATATCTTCTTTGAAGAAGGACGAAGATGAAAGGACACTTTCCTCCGTTCATCAGGAATTGACTAACACGAAAGACAAACTTAAAGAAACTAAACTGCAGTAACAGATTATGATTAATAATTATGTTATAAACTTCGTCTATCGTTTTTTTGGGATTTGGGTCATGAATTGGAGTCTTATTATTGTTGCGAATAAAAGGGAGAAAGAGGGGTGGGTGGTAATGGATAATCTTCAACGTTATTATATTGTTTTTATAACTGTTGAACTTGGACGTAATAATTGTATCGTTTGATAGAATTTAATATAAAAATATTATGTGATGTATATATTATATAACTTTCGATATATATAAAATGTATGTAATTTAATATATAATATATATATAATAAATATTTATTAAAAGAAGAAGAAAAAAAATCTGATGTACTCGTACAACATATATATATTATAACAAATAAATAAATAAAACAAATGTGCGTTGTGTCATATTTAAAATACAAAATTTGTCTATACTGAAATAATTTTCTTTTCTTATTTTTCCACATTTTAAAATTTGTTTAAAATATATCTCTTTAAATATATTACAATAAACACAAATTATTTTTGAAATAAATGATTTAAAAAAAACGAAATAGAAGAAAACAAGGATGAATAATTCGTGATATCCTTGTAAGAAATGTTGCAAACGTTAAAGGTGAACTGCATTTCCAGTCAGTTTAAAAACCTTACAGCGTGCACATACACTTGCATGTGCACGAAGAACTCGTGCACGTGTGAGGAACGTGAGAGAGCAAGGGCAAGGTTACGGTAAGCAAAACCGGAAGAGATTGAACAAACGAACACTAATACCTGAACACTAACACAAGAACACGAATACAAATATACTCATACTACTCGATGGGGCCAAGTTAGGACATTGCCCTTTTGCAAATCGGATCTCGTTTATATCGTTAAAGAAATGATGATGACAGGTTGTTGTGTTGTTCATTGTAATTACTATACGAATTGATTTAGACATATTATGATATTTTAATATTACCACCTGTTCAAATAACAAAATAAAAGTATAGAAACATTAAAATACCTGAAGTGGTTGTGGGGGACAGGACAGGGGGGGGTGGGGGGTCGTATCGAATAATTTATAAGAAATACGTTCGATTATAACGGGGTTCAATATTTTTCATCTCAACTATTTTACTAATATAAATTCTGATCGCTTATATTAAAATCCTGTTTTGTTAAATATATTTGAATATTATTTTTGTTTTCTTATCAAAATTATATCGAATCCGTTAATTTATACGATCAACCGGATATAATATGATTGAAATAAAATAAGAGTATCACCTGAATATTATTTTCCAATTATTGTAAATATATTATTTTTCTTTTCGTATCTCGAAATGTTAGTAAGAAAATTTTGTTGTTCTCTCTCTTTCTCTTTATCATAATCATACGAATTTTATCTCTATTACGAATAAGAAATTTTCTGAACTAATTGGAATAATAATCGATATGTTTACGTGATAACGATTTTAAAATGAATAATAAAATGAATTTAACAAGAAAGAATGTGTATACGTAAAAGTAGATATATTCGGTTCTTCGACAGGTTCTTGAACTTGTCCAGTGTGGTCAAAGTATCCAGGTGGGGAGCAGGTATCTTTTCCTGGTTGATTCTACTAGCGGAGGTCATAAAACGTTCGTCCTTCGTATCGTCAAGACATCCTATTCTCTTACTTGCTCATCTATACTTGTCTCTTTTCCTTTTATTTCTTCAATATTATATATATTAGTAATAAAATCAAAATTCAAATTAATCTCAAATCACCAACCAGTGTGTAATCATCAATGTTTTCAATAAATATGAGATTGTTCAAGACAACGGTCTTGTTGTTTTTACTATTGGCATTTGTTGGGACTCATGTAAGAAGTCTTCCACTTGATGAATCCGAAATTACATCATCAACGAAAATTTCTTCTTCTTCTTTATCTTCTTCTTTTGAAGATCATTACGATCAAAGGCAAAATGGTTCAGAAAATTATCGTGTACACATTGACGGTGTAGTCATAGTAATTGCACCAGTTGAAGCACTTCTTATGGCTAATGATCTTGTTAATAACAATCAATCTGGAATATCCACAATTAATTATCCAAAACCTGACGATAATAAACCAAATATTGAACATTCGGAGAAACCGAGTAATGAAAATTTGGAAAAACCAAGTACCGAACATTTGGAGGAACCTACTACCGAACATCAATCGTCGGAAAAATTAAATGTCTCTTCGAAATCAACGAAAAGGTATTTTTTTTACATATATATATATATATATANATATTTTATTTGCTTCGTAAATCATTGCATAATTTTTCTTGTTCTATTTTTTTTTCATTTTTTTTTTTTAATTTATTTTTGCAGATCCAATTTACGTTTAATGAACTTACTCGCACCCTTTATACGCCGTTTTTATCACCCACAATGAGTCCAAAACTGGCTCGGGGGAAAGAAAACAACCACACATTTCAAGACTTATATTTAGTGTAATGTAATATAAAACACATGTGATTGATATATTTCATTAATTATAGTTTATATAATATTATGCATATATAAATATATGTTATTTTAAAAAAGGGTTTTTGTAATTAGGCCTTCTTTAAATGGAACTTGAAGTTAATTTAGGGGGATTCAAAGAAGCACGTTTGTAATACTATATTTTTAGTATATAATGATCGTTATATATTATCTGCAATGATTTTGTGAACAGACCATGTACTCACCTTTATTCATAATTCTAAAATTATTATTATTATTATTATTATTATTACTATTATATTATTATTATAATTACTATTATTATTACAATATTTATTCTTATTTTATTCTGAATTTTATATATATATATATATTTATATTTGATTAAAAATTAAAATACATTGTCTATGTGAGATTTTTGTTCTACTCTTATGTCTCGTTTTTTATTTTTTTGTCTTCTTCTTCCTCTTCCTCTTGTTATTTTTTTCTTTTTTGGTATACGATCACAATACTTTTTTTTGTATAAAAAATGCCTTAAAGACTATATCATGTTCCTTTGCATATTGTAATACGTACAATTTTTTTTAATGTATCTTTATTTTTTGGTTTATTGGGTGGAATCATCACTTGCTTGTATTATTTTTTTCCTCTGTGTGTTTGTGTGTGTGTGTGTGTAACCCCTGTGTAAGAACCTAATTAATTATATATAATTTTCAATGAAAATTAACAATTATTATTGTAATAACATAAATCATTTTTCTACTTGCTTGTGAAACACACTATAATGGAAAATAAGCGTCACACACAGCTTCTGTATATATATGTATATGTATAATAATCATTTAAAATATATTATATATGCATATACGATCTTGTATTTGGAAGTCGAGGATGTATCTGTGTTCTGTGTGTGTGAGTATGTGTATTTTTTTTTTGAGTTGTGTGGGTGTGTTGGTGTATACAAGAATACATTTTCAAATATAATATTGCAATTCTAATATTGTAATATATAAAGCAGTGTTAAATATTTCCTTCGTCTGATTATATTGTTAATCGTTTAAACATTGTTCACATTCTAAGAAATGATTTTATTTTTTGTTCACGTCACAACACGATCAAATGAAATTTCAATTGACTATTATTATTAATTTTTTAAAACACGTTCTCGCGCGCGTAAGACACACAAATATTTGATATCAACACATTAAAAATATCTTCACACGAATTTGATATCTTCTTTATTTTGTTTATTCCCTTTCGTATGTATTTTTTTTTTTATTTATTTTATTCGCGATAATGGTGTTTACTTCAATAATTGTTCGTATTTAATTTAATTTCTTATTTTTCTCTCGTTTTATTTCATATTAATAATAATAATAATATTGTAAAACTAGAGTGTACCCTGTGTTCTCGAGTTTGGAAAACATTATATATATACAAGGTGTTCTGTAATTGGTTGTACGAGTCAACAGGGGAATGATTTAACATGAAAAATCAAACTGTAAATGTGACATTTAATTTGTTCATATATATAAGGATATTTGATTTAAAGAATAATTCAATTTGAAATCGTTGTGTATTTAAATATTTTTTTTGTATTAGCATCGTTGTGGTATGACTATGGTATTCTTGTTGCATCGGTTTTACTTTTATGGTTTTTTAATTTTCAGGGTTTCATCAGGTTTACGTTACAAAACACCCCGTATATACATATGTATGTATATATATATATTAATTAATTTATTTATTTTTTTTTCCCGAATACTTTCATATAGAACAAAAAGGATTTTTAACGGTGGATCCAATTTTGTTTTTTTATGAATGTTCGTCTTGTCGATTGTTCTTTTCCTTATTTTCTTTTTTTTTTTTTCTTTAATACTCTCGATAAATCTTTTTTCTTATTTTTCTTTTTATAATTATTATCAATGTTTTCTATCTCTTCGCGTGCAAGAATCGCCGATTATGCGAGTTTGCAATGTCCTATTTGGAACTTCTTTATTGTTATTTTTAAATAAAATATTTACTCTCGGATTTGTGAAGAATACACCGGTGGTATTACTAAAAAATACTGGATAAATATACGTAGATGCAGTTTTTTTTTAAATTTTGTTTTGTTTTGTTTTGTTTTATTTTGTTTCGTTTCGTTTTTTTCCTACCCCCTACAGAAAGAATATTTTACGAAATAAGAACAAGATATCGTATATTATTTTTATTATTCTCCTCTTTTTTTTTTTTCACTGATTTCATCTAAAAGATTTGAAATCATTTTGGTAACCTACCCCCTCGAGACACTAGATCGATCACTATTAATTTTAACGCTAATTATTTTGAAGAATTTTGTTTCTTTCTTTTATATTTTTTTTTTTTATCGATTCATGTTTGTTCATTTTTTATTTGGCTTGTAATTTTTTTTCTTTTTTAATTAGAATCAATTATTTGTTTAGTCTATATACAAGAGGGATAATATTTTCCTATAATGAAACACAGTATACTTAATAATTATAAGAACGTCGATACGAAAAAGAAAATAATAAGGGGGAAAAAAAGGAAAAAAGAAAGAAAGATAGAAATAAAAAAAAAAGAAATGATACGAACTGTACAAAAGTTTATACAATCATGCATAGTCTCGTCAATAAAAAAGTGGTTCCATTTCGCGTGACATTTTTATAATTTTCATAATCATGAATTTAATTTGATGAGATTATTTTTTTGCAACGATACGACAAACGAATAATTCTTACTACGTAAAAAATATTACAGTGTCTTATTTTTTTTTTTTTTTCAAGTAATTTTACGATAAAATATTTCCCATAGTATCGTAAAGTCATAAAATTTAATGTCACGAGATGCTTTTGTCACAAAAGTCGTGGATTTATGATCACGCGAAGTGAAACCTTTAAGTAAATAATTTTCTCACATGGCAATTACATATTAATAAATTATGACAATCGATAATAATACACGACGTTGTCCAATATTCTCGCATACAATGACAAAGAAAAAGTAATAATAATAAAAAAAAAAAAAGGAAAAATCTATACATAGAAGAAAAAATAAAAGTACACAGATAGGTAATACATAGTATAACACATCGTTTAAAATTGTTGTTGTAAATTATCGAAAATAAGTAAAGTATTTTGAAATACTTAAAATTTAAATAGAAGAGATTTGGGCTTCTTCGTTAGCGTTGAGATCCTCACCACAGTTTTTAGCATCCGGTGAGCCAATATTATTAGCGTCTGCGGACTCATCATCAAATTTTAATTCCTCCTTAACCGCCTATAGAGGAATTATTCCGTTTGACATCTTTTTTCGTTTAGTTTTGTTTTGTTTTATTTTTATATTGATTGTTATTTTTTTTTTTTTCGTATATATATATATATATTGTTTTTTTAATTTTTTTTTTTTTAATAAGGCAATCGTCCGTTTTAAGATAAAAGAAAGAAAAAAAAGGTATGGCAACGATGTTAGTAGCGTTTTACATATATTTATCGATTATTTCATCGGCAATTACCTCCTTGATCAGTAGACGACAATTTTCCACGACGCTACGTTTTCTATCTGGCACATTGCATAAAATATCTTCCGATTGATAGGTACTATCTACGATTTTACGTAGCTCGTCTAATTCGGTCAAGGCAACTTCTAATTTTGTTTCTAAATCACATCTGCAAATATAAATTTTTACGTTATATTTTTGAAATAATAAAACATTGACATATTAAAGAAAAAGAGAGAGAGAGAGAGAAAAAGAGCCAAAATATATAATACATAATCAATAATTTTTCTGTTTGTGTTTGAGCAAAACAAAAGAGAAATTATAACTCGTTATCGATATTATTTGAAAGCACTTTTATGATATCAAATATCGGTCAATCAAGAAAATAAATATTTGTGCCGTTTTAATCGATAAATGTAATAATATCCTAGAAACCTGATTGTTAATATGATATTTTATTATACTACCACTATTCTAAAAATTTGTAAATCCCTGTATTCTAATATCGTATAATTAATTAGCTATATATAATTATAATAACATTCTTTGTGTGTGATTTTTCCATTATACAAAATTCATACAATAATTTCACATATATACTTACTTATCTTCTTTCAATTCTTGTATACACGTATCGTTTTCAAGTTGTATTATCCGCAATACTTTTAAAAGTTTAGTTACAAGATTATCAACATCTATTACTTGATCAACAAGGCTTACTGCAGGACAATAATCCGTTAATGGAAGAGGTCCTTCATTGGTCCCAGTGTCTGATTCACTTATTGATTCGCATTCGTCTTCTTCCTCGTCTTGTACCTATAATAAAATTATTATTCGTATTTATTTCATATTACTAAAATATATTGAAATATATATTTAACAATTATTTTCATTTAATTTACCCCCTTCCGTCCCTTCCATTTTCCCCCACCCACTCCACTAAAAAAGATTTACACACAATTTTATACAACTTACTTTCCTACGATGTAATATTGCTTGAGTTAGATTCGTCAAGCTGGTACACTCGTCTAAGGTTTTAGTTTTTTTAATATTATTTTCATCGACCGTTTCGGGAAAGCTTAAAGCTCTGCGAAGCGAGTCGCTGCTAGAGATCATATTGTGCGAATAAGTATCCGGTAATGTAACATCCTCCAATACACTTTCCATCATCAGACACGGTTCAGTTTCAAAATCGAGTAAATCGGAAGACGAATCCATACTTATGTCTATCGATACAAAAACATATATAATATGTGTGTGAACAACATTAAATATATAAAAAATATAATAAGAAATACATAATACAATATAATTAAATATTACATACAATACTAAAAGATTCTTATACAATATAACACCCATAAGTTCAGTTGACCAAAACACATTATTATCATAAATTAATAACATTTAAAATAATTTAATAGGCCTATTTTTTAAAACATCTTCAATGTTTGCTTTGACAAAAATAATAGACTCGTATGATGGATACAAATTTGTTTCTGTATCTTTTGAATATATATTGTCCTGTTACCGTCAACTGATTTATAGGATTAATTCAGTATCCCACGAATATATTAGATATATACCTTTGTACATTTGTTTGGCCGATTCCAAAGAAGATTTTTTATCCACAGTTTTGGTTACAAAAGGATGAGTAGCAGCGTTACGGATAGCACCGATAACTGCGGAAACGAAGGAACCACTTTTTGGACTAGGAGTGCATTCTTTCAAGCTATGCTTAGAACTAACCGGACTGGATTCGATGCTACTGTTGCTTCGACTGTATGCTTCGTTATGATAGATCACATCCTTTAAAATGGGTCCTTTTAAAATCTCCGTACTTAACATCTACTATAGATTCGGCGAATTTCTTAATAATATATATTTGAATATCGTAAAACAAAAAGAAAAAAAGAAAAGAACAGAAAAAACTAATCCCAAAATCAATCAATCAATTAAACAAAGGAATAAATATTACCTCCAAATCCTTAACTGAAATATTGTAAGAAGTTATTAACTGATCTACCAATCCTTCCAATCGCGTGCCAAGACCAGAAAGGGCCACTGCTGCACCGGAAATAGTTGCACCTTGGGTAAGCAACAATTCTCTACCTTTTCGTTCGACCGCATTTAATTTCATGTTCAATGATAAATTTTCTTGCCTGTCCCACACACACAAAATATTACAAATATAATATAAATATATATATTATATATATGTATATATATTAGATATACGACGATTCGTATGTAATGTTAGAGGATTATTATCATTTACGCTATTTACACCTCGTAATAGCATACCTTCGCTGTTCACTGATTCGAACTAAATGTTTGCATTCCTCTGTCTGCCTTTCCAATTCTGCTTCGCGTTGAATCAAAGCTTGTTCTTTCTTCTTGAGCTAGATAATATAATAATATTAGTCGTGTTAAAAAGTTTGTTAAAAATATATAAGCTCATTATTTCTCTTTTTCGCATTGATAAATGAAATAATAATATTATTAACAATTGTGTACCTCAATTTCGGCATCCTTTAACGCATCTGCCAGAGTCGTTTTTTCTTGTTGAAGAAAATCTTGCATTTCTGCTGATTCCGCTTCCAATTCTTGCTGTTGTTGCAACAATGCTTTTTGTGCTGCTAAACTCTTTTCCAAATCCTGACAAATGTATCAAAAATATTATTTAATAATTAATTATTAATTAATTTATTAAATATTATTTATATTTTTAATGATAATATTCTTTACCCTGCTAAGCATACGACAAAGTGATTGCAAGTCGGCTATTTCGATTTGCTGATTTGCTACAACTTGTCCCGATGATTGCAAATGTGATTCCAATTCTAAAAAGCTGTCGCTACCCTCTGAAACGATGATACGTTCATTTTTTTTTTAATTATATACCAACTTGTACGAATAAAAATTCGACATTAATTTTAAAAAGAATTATTTGTACCCGCGTGTTCCGATTGTGGTGTTCCTAACATCGCCAATACTCTTCTAGCATTTCTATCTAATTCTTGCCTAGCAAAAGCATGATCAGCCTGTTCCTCCTCTAAAAGACGTTTAACTTCAGTTATCTCCGTTTTGAGTCTTTCATTTTCTTCCTTTTTCACGTTAGCATCCTCATTCAAACGTTTCAAATCATTCTGCATGGTCTGCATGTCCTCCCAAGTTCCATCAGTTTGAACAATTTCGTGCAAACGTTCTATTATGTCAGGTCCTGATACTGCACTGGGTATTCCAGATAATGCATTGTCAATGTCGTTACCAGTCAGACCCGTTTGTATGCCGATTTCATGATAAATTCTTGTCTTTTCAATGGGTTTATTTCTAGGATAAGGTGGTAAAGTTTTGTGAACGAAATCTCTAGTATTATTTATAGTCTTTTTATCTGGTTGTCTACCAAGACTACCATCCCTGCTACCGGATCTGCTCCTAACAATTTTATCATTAGTTTTCTCATTTGTTTTGGCAATAGTCATTTTGTTCTTATTCCTACGTGGTAACGTTGCATAAGCATCCAACGCCTTGTTATCCAAACTTATAGTCATCTTATCCAGACGATTACTTTTCGTTGGTTGTTCGGTTCTACCAGAATTATACAAGGTACGAGATGTTGGCAATGGTTTACGCGTTTCCTCGGATGGGGTAGAACCCGGTGTACGCGTAATCCTAGTACTAGAACCACCTCTAGATCTTGATCCACTATTACTACCTCTACCACGTTGAGCAAGATCCTTATTAATTTCTGTAGTCAATACGGATGGCAGTGAATCGGGTGGTATTGGTCTCGTTCTCGTTCTTTGCGAAGTCGAATTAGTAGCAGAACGAAAATTTAAATTGGTACGTGTATTTCCGCCAGGTGTTACGGAATCACAATTTGATTCTCTTGCCGTTGACTTGTCCCTAGACCTAGCACGATCTCTAACAACCGGTTGTGCCTTGTTAAGAATATTTCTTGGCGCTGCGATCCTTGGTTTAGAACGTGGTGTCGTTGGTACGTAATTAGCGTTCAACAATGCTGGCTTAACCCGACTAGTTTTTGGTGTCTCGCAATTGACTGCCTTTTTCTTACTCGAACTGGACACCGATGAGGTTCTTTTAACGTTACTACTACGATTTCCCCTAGCCGATACGCTACCAGCTATCGATGAACTTTCGCTACCACCTTCGCTCGTACCCTCACCACCTGTTGTTAATCTTACATCGTCTGGAAGAGTTGCACATGGGTCTTCGTATACCGAACAACAACTAACTAAACTCGAATCACAGGATGCTTCATCCAAACCCCCACAACTGCTGGCATAATCTATGCTGTTTCGACTACGTACCTGTAAATACAATAATAATCAACAATTATTATCAAACTATATTATATTTCTTTTTTACAATATATATTTTCAATTGACTTTAACTTACTCTTGGAACTTCAGTTGCACAACCCTCGACACCACTGTCACTGCCATCTTTGCTATCCTTGCTCTCCCCAGTGTATTCTTTTCTGTCAACAGTAGCCAATGACGTTGACGAAGATCGATCCTCTTCCTTATTACGAGTTTCCGATTCCGTAACGTGAATTACGGTAATGTTACAGTCACTGTTCATAGTACTATTTGGGTCCTCATCGTCCAACGACTTGTTAATATCACAAACCGGTGAAACAAGATCTTCTGGTACTCCCGAATCTTGTCGTGCCACATTTTGCATTGGCAATACTTTCAAATTGTTGTCCTCGAGTTGTGGTACTTCCATATCGAGCTCTCGCTCGATTACCGTCGATGAATCATTCATATCGTCCTTGCCATTCTGAACAAAAAATATATTCGTCAAAAATCAAATTAATCATTTTTTAATTCACGGATCATATATTCGATAACAATATCGATATATATTATTCTTATCATTTTGCGATGAGGAATAATTTTGATGAAAAATAAAAATACAAAATAATTCCCAACTAACGTAACGATAAATTATATCAATAAAAAAAAAAAAAGAAAACCTATTTCCTTTGGTCAATGTTTGCACGATAATTTTTCAAAACGGTTAATCGAGTTTAATTAACTGTAATAAGAACATCTTAGGTGTATCGGAAATTAGGGACACTGTGTGTGCATTTAATTAAATATGGGATGACTTTTTGTTGTTATTGTTGTTCAAGGACGATCTTAAAATATCCAAGTCGAGTAGATTTTTCTTTTTTTTTTTTTTTCTTTTATCCACTCTTATTTTTAACGAGGAAACAACGAGGATGACGATGACACACGATGATAATTCATTTAATTGATTTGTTTTTTTTTTGTTTGAATTGTAAAATAAAACTTGAAATTAATTCATTAAAAGAGAATGAGAAAAATTTGTTATATTATACATATTTAGAAATTCTATAATATAAACGATTATGTTCAGAAAGGTCTATATCTAACATCCGTTTTAACATGTAGTAGTATTTCCGTAGATTTTAAATTTGCTTAGAAACGATCATGCGTGACATGATGTAAGTCAAGCAGGATATATTACAACCGCAAAGCTTACGTATCTACATATATATATAAGTATATGTATATGCATAATTGTCAATGTATTACATATATATCTAGAGAATAAAAGTACTAGCCTAGTTAATGAGAGCCTATTATGTGAATGCAACCGAGTTTGGTATCGTCCAATTCTTTATCTTTCTCTTTTGAATTGTTTTATTTAAAAATAAATAAATAAATTCATTGTTATCAGTATCGCGTTATTTTTTCATTCTTTCGTTAAGATAAGTAATAAATTAATAAATATTAAAAATGATTGTGTGAAATGTGAAAAGGTGAGAAAGTAATTTGATAAACAAAATCGATAAGAGCCAATTCCATACCGGATTTTGTCAATTCTACGGATAATCGGAAAGATATTCGATTATCTGGACCAATTTCCGAAATTTCTCGACAGACAGACAGAAAGAGAAAACTAGAAAAAAAAAAACAAACAAAAAAAGAAAAAACATAAAAGAAAGTGAAATTAATGGGAATGCTTGTCTTGATCGCATATTACGGAAACCTAAATCAATTACACGGTTATTGGATTGTCCAATGATTTCCATCGATTCGAACTATCATTTAAATTCTATCGTGAAAAATTAGTATTACGAAATTCATTATTTTATATTCGTAAAAAAAAAAAAAAACCTGGGATATTCTAACACTCAGAATACAAGCAGACCTAAATTCCAAAAATATGATTACTATAATAACTATATAAATTATTATTATTACTATAACTATCGTAAATATTTAATATATATATTTGTGTATTTCCTTATTGAAAATGTGTTTAATATTTAATATTAAAATAATTATTAATATATAAATATTTCATGTTTTTTAAAATTGATCCCATCTGTTTCGAAACACCCCCTGTGTATATTTATCTCTTTTTCTTATTAAATAAATATAATATTTTATATTAAAATAATGAATTGTGTTCTCGTAACATTAATTGTATTTTTAAAACTCAAATTTCTCTCTTTATCTTTATATAATTGTATAAGTGTTATTAATCACATCATCAAAAGATAGTTTAGCATTTTTTAAATATTATCTTTTCTTTAGATGACCTCTATCGTTATTCGATATTAAACGTAGACTTGTTGGTTACTTGCATAATTAAAGTGGCACAATTATTAAGAAGATTTCATTTTTCTTTCTATCTCACATGTATAAAATTACGAACAAGTTTTTTTTGTAATGCATTTAATCGTATTAATACTTGTATATGTATTTCTAACATTATGCAAGATCTATACGATAAATAAGATCTATAAGATTTATACGAAAGTAAGATCGAATATCATCAATTACGTGACATCGATCAGATCACGATATTATTCATTTCGATTTCTATCTTGCACGCGAATGATTTTTAATAACGATTGCCCTATCATCCTATAAACTTGTTTTTTATCTATGCAGATATTTGCTCTTTCTTTTAATAAATACCGACACGTGTTTAATATTGTTTTTTCTTGTATCTATATCAAATTAGATTTTAAAATTATATATATATATATA